CAACTACCTTATCTTTAACCTTCTTGAGTCTACCTCTTTGGGTTCTATTCTCTAATTTTCTTGGCTAGGTTTACTTTACTCTTACTTGATAGTATTTTTGTTGTTTTGTTTTATCATGTCCTCCTTTTCCTCTTCCTTCTTTTTTTCCTCCTCCTCCTCCTCCATCTTCATCATCAATGTCACAGCCTTTCATGATTTACAGAACTCAGTCTCTAGCTGAGGTCGTGATTAAAGGACTTTTTTATGAAAGCGTGTAATTTTACTTTATCAGTTTAATAGTAATTCAATATGCAAAGTGAGGGATGTTGTAGGAAAAATTAAAAGTATTGAATAAGCAGATCCTCAGATTTGCCAGAGGGAGTGATGAGTGTTTCTTATCATATAGGACAACTCCATGTATTAACTGCTTCTACTTACTTTTATTCTCATTGTTTGAAAGAACCCTATATCAGTCAATGGTCTGACTGTTCATATTCATTTTAGTTTATCTTGACTGTGCATTTTAAAGTATTACACAATATAAATGAGTTTCCATTTTACATGGGCATGTGTTAAAATAGTATGATTAGTGTTTCCTAGAATGAGTTTCAGTGAAGAGGGGTGGGAAGCCTTATCCAGACTAGATCTGCCCCTTCACATAATTGAATCTGGCCTGCAGGTATCATTTATGACTGTGGCAGCAAAAACACAACATAATTTTAAATGTCTTTGATGATAATAATCCTAACATGCCATAAAATGGGGCAGTATCTTGTAAGAGTAGAAAGCTCTTTTTTTTTTCAAAATGAATTGTACCCTGCTTCCCTCATCCCCCCATTAAGACATAGAAGCTATTTATATTAATAAGAACAGCAGTAATAATAATAATAATAATAATAGGTTTTATTTCAGAGTTTTGCAATTTATAAAACTTCCCCATAAAAGCATTCATTATATGCTAGGCACAGTGCCAAACTAGGGTTACTTGTACAAGCAAGCAAGGTGGTCCCTGTTCTCAAGAAGCTTATGCTCTAATGATGGAAGACTATCAAAGTTAAAGGAGAGCTGGAGATCAGGGAGGGAGGAGACAGAGGCAGGGAGTCAGGCATAGTTGGGACATGAGTTGAAATGGGCCAGAAAGTTAATCAAATTCCTGGGTCCTTGAAGGACAAAGGGAAAGTTCACTTGTCAGAAAGCAAAGTGGTTCCAGGTGTGAGGTCCAAGTTTTTGTTAGGGTTGAAGTGTGGACATGCTCAGTGAGCCAGACAGCAGGGTTTGACGATGGAGGGAAAGTGAGGGAAAAACTTTGACCCTCAGGCAAGATGAAGTGAGTTTATCTAACAGCCCTGTGGAGAGAGGCAGCCTAGTGGAAAAGACCATTGATGGGGATGGATTACATGTCCTCCATGGTCCCCCCAAAACTCTAAATCTAAGATCCTATGATCCTAAGTATTATTAGCCCAAATTTATAAATAAGGAAACTGAAGTTGGAGTTTAGATGATTTTCCCAAGTTCATGCAACTAGTAAGTGGCAGAATTGATCTTCTGATCCTAGTTAGGCCCAGTGTTGTTGTTGTTGTTGTTGTTTAAAACTATACCATCCTGCCAACAGTTGGGTGTTATTTCCATTGAAGATGAGAAAAAGGAAGGATTACATGTGTGCATGTATGTATGTATATATATATATATATATACACACACACACATACACATACATACATACCTAGATACACACATATATCTGTGCTTGTAAGACTTGGGAAGAAATCAAAATACTCATTTAAATGATAAAATCTGGCAATGTTTACTCATATAAAATATATATGGTTGTATTTTTGTTCTTTTTCCCCCATCTCTACCCCTAAGAGCTATATTAGTAAATGAGGCTGTGGCATAGTGGAAAGAGAGTTAACCTTGGGGTCATTGGTGCTGAGTGCAAACTACAGCTCTACCACTTAATCCCTGTGTGACCTTGAGCATGGATCTCAGTTTCCTCATCCTTAAAATGAGAAAATAGCCTCCAAGGACACTTCCTACTCTAAATCTGTGATCCCCAGTTAAATCATTGCCTCTGATGGGTTCAGCAAACATTTAGGGTACATTTTCACAGCTCTAAATGGTGTGAAAGCTGTGGTGTTTGAAAGTGATTGTTTTCCTATCTCACGGTAGGTAACCTTTGCATCAGAGGCACCTGCAGCATGAAAAGCCTGGACTAACTTCTGGGAGTTTGTTCACTTGACACCACCCAGTGATCTGGGAAATTATACCTACTGGACAGCCTAGCACTTTTCCTCTTGCAGAGCTCAAATAACTTGAAGTGGATAGTGTTGAGAACAGAGGATAGAATGTTAGGCTAATGGAGTGCATTCTTAACTGAGGAAGAGCGTGAAATGACATGCCCAGAACAATTGAAAATTAAATGCCCCAGTAAGTGGAGAGGGTATCCTAGAGATGGGAAGACTGCTGGCCCTTGTAGCAAACATGCTTTTACCTTAGAGTAGAAGGGCTTTGGAAGAACCCTTTACTACACAAGCAGAATGTAGGTACCTGTCAGGACAAGGCCAGCAGTGAAGACCTGGGAAGCAGCCAGGTTATTTCCCATTAAAGTATTTAAAGGCTTAAAGTTCATAATAATAGTACACCCTCTAGAGAAGAAGGATGGAATCCAGGCCTGGGCTTGCTGCTTTTATTTTCCCCAATCTTGTTTGTTACTTTTATTTTCTCCAATTTACCTGAAACTAATTCCCTGTAGCAAAAAAAAAAAAAAATCGAATTTCAACTCTCCTACTCCACATGTTCCTAATCCCCTCAACCTTATAATTGTTGGTAAGGAGCTCTAGAGTTTTACTCTGTGCCCAGTCAAGTTGCAAAAGTATAATAATATCTCCTATTACAGACACATTATTTTCCCACCCACAATATATCTTCTAATGTAATATGGGACATGATTATTATGCAGAATCGCCAATTTCTAAAACTACACTTTGGTATCTTTTTGCTGTTCCCTTCTTTACTTTCTCAGTTTAATGAACTGATGTTAATTGGGTTCACAAGACCACAGATCTAGAACTGAAAGAAAACATCTAGTTCAACTCCTTCACTTTACAGATGAAAAAACTGATGGTCAGAGTGTTTAAGTGACGTGCCCAAATGCCCATAGGTAGTAAGCAACAGAGCCAAGATTAGAACTCAAATTCCACGACTTCAGCCTCTTACTGCTTAACCATGTTGCCTCCTGGTTGGGCAGGCATGCAGTGTTGGACAGAGCACTCACATTGATGATATCGCAGATTCATGAAAGTATGAACATAGGCGAATTAAGTTTTCTGAGAGAAAAAAGCAAAAGACCCCTCTTCCTTTTCTATTTAGCTGTTGCTAAGTGGGCATTTCCATTATGATCTCTTTTAAGAGATCAATGCTGTGAAAAAAAATTTAAATATTCTTAGTAAGAAAATATTGGTTCAGATGCTCTTCCCATCTTCCATTTAGTTCTGTCCCTCCTATCCCCATTTTTAGACTCTTTAACCACCTTCTGCATTGGATAAAGTAGAATCCAAACTGATGAAATCACAGCTCCAGCAAGCAATCAGTTCACAAGGATTTATTAAGTATTTATGACAGAAAATACAAATAAAAAGCAATAATCTACCTTCAAGGAGCTTCAAATTAAAATATTCATCCCTTTCCTTCCTATTATCAACTCAATTTTCTTTGCCTCTCTTAAATACCTACTGCCCAAATCCTGATCTCTGCCTAAACCAGGCATTCTTCATTCTTTGCCTTTATTTGGTGCTATAGATCTCTTTGACAGCCCAGTGACACCTATGGACCCTCTTTTTAATTCATAAGATAAAATATACAAGACTACACTGGAGACCAATTGTACCAAAATGCAATAAAACTATTTTTTAAAAATAAATTTCAATCTGAAAAGAATCAATTTCACAGACACCAATTTAACAATCCTTGGCCTATGCTAGACATCCCCAAAATTTCCTTTAGATCTTCTCCACACACCCCCATTCCACTTATTAAAACTGTTCCTCAGTAAATTTCTTCATACCTCAAGTAGATGTGAAGAAAACTGACTAGCTAGTTTTCACTAAAGTGTGAATGACCAACAGTGTCCTCCTAGTTAACATTATTAAGGTTAGCAGATAACTGTTGATGTACATGGAAAAATTTTGAGCCAGTAAGGCAGGTTTTTTCATTTAAATTGTGGAGCATGGAGAAGTATTGGAAAATAGCAGGTTGGGAGGACCCTGGAAAAATGAACCATAAGATGAAGATATGGGTGTGGAGGTATGATGCTGAAAACCCAGTGAAACAGTCAGACCTTATTACCACTATCAAGAAAGGTGTCATTGGATTCAGGATATATCAATTATCTCTGCTTTGCAAATAAACTGAGAACTAAAAGTATCCCTGGACAGGAAACAGGTAACTCAAAATAAAGAAAAGATTTTAAAGAAGGAAGTGGGTAAGACTTTAATTCTAGCTGTCAGACTAAGCTGAAATAATGCAAATCAGCTTCAGGGGGAGATGACATTTTACATGTAGGGACCAGGGCTGCTAATGAGATTCAGCTCAGTCACCTTGATCACCTGCAACAAAGCGTATAACCAGCTTTAACATCTGTCTAATTAATCTGCTTCAGGCAAACCAAACAAGGTAGAGTATATGAATCATGGGACATGGTCAGGGACACCAAGACGTGGAGAAATGGATTCCTTAACTGAAAAGGAAAGCTTTGCAAAATCAATGCAGAATGACTTGGGAGCAAGGAAATGAATCTTGAGATGGTAGAACCAACTGGATGTGACTAAATGTTTGTGTTTGTGTAGATATTTGTATTGTGAGCATGTGTTAAAACATCTACTCTTTGAAACTCCATAAATGAAGCTTCATTGTCCCATAATTGATTATGTCTAAAAGGCAAAGCTCACAACTCAGAAAAGAAAGAAGCCCGCTCTGCTCCCCCCCCCCACCAGCTTCATAATGAATTTAATTTCTCTTTCCAGTTCCGCCTAGTGGTGAAGACTGCCTTGAAGTTACTGCTGGTGTTTGTGGAGTACACCGAGTCAAATGCACCCCTTTTAATTCAGGCTGTCTCTTCAGTTGATACAGAAAGAGGTAAGGTGTTTTCCTGTTACTGAGCATTTGACTGAGAAACAACATTTTAATGAAAGAGACTTGACAACATGTTTCAAACTGCACATTTTTTTGATGGAGGAGTAAGGTATATTGCAATCAACCATCAGATCATGTCCTTTATGTGATTCACTAAAGAGAAGCATTTTCCTCATCTTTTAGAATAAGGACACTAGATAGCTTTGAGGAAAGAGTTGTTCAGAACTATGGTTCTCAGTTTCTATGTCCTAGATCTTCTGAGGTGTGTGTGGGGGGGAGTTATCAAAAAGAACACTCAGATCCATGTGCCCACCAAATATCATCATTTCAGTCTTTATGTAGCTCTAGCAGTATGATGACAGCTTCAATCATGTAGGGTTTAGCCAATTTTTAAACTCATTTTATTTATAACTTTTGTTTTTATATCATTTTCATTTCTAAGTATATTCCTGTCTCCCCTTCTTCAACCCAAAAAACCAGACCTTATAACAAATTAAATAAGAAATAGTTTTTTAAAAAGGCACTTCAGTAAAGGCAAGTAATATAACAATTGTGCCTGACAGTACACTGCAATATTTTTAAAAACCTTCCTTCATTAAAAGGTTGAGAATCACTGGTCTAATGGTTAAAGAATCAGGTATAGTGGAATAGGACAGACTGAGGAAGACCAAGATCATGAGAGTCTTCAGACTTATGAGGATAAGGCAAAGACTGAGGCTCTGAACATAACTACAGAGCAAAAAGGCCAGTAGTCAATGAGAAGGACTGGGTCTTAACTGGGATTCTAGAGGGAAGAGGAGGCAAGTAAGAAGAATTTGAGAACCAGTTGGCTAATAAGGTTAAAGGACCATTGACAGTAGAACAGTCTAGAGTGTCTAAAGACTGTGTAGGTTTTGGTAGGTGCTACAAAGTACTTAGGGATTAGGGCAATCTCTTGGATAGTTTTTTTACTCAACCTTCAATCCTGTGGATGAGTTCCTTTTAGGCAGAAAGTTCAGAATTTGATTCAAACCTAAAGTTAGTTTTCCCTCCTGAAAGCTAGTTCACTGCAACATAGGTCCATGGACAGAAGACTATTAATCTAATAAATCGGAAATTGGGTGAAGTGATCTTTATGCTAAGAGTACCACTACATGGCCTCTCAAAATGAGTACCAAGAGACCAACTACCAGAAGACCAGCAGAAAATGAGGAGAACAACCTCCTTGGGACTTAACTAGGCACAGGAGTCAATTCTGCTTCTTCTAGAACAGAGAATTTTTTTGTAAGTAGTTTTTAAAATTTTTTTCCAATTACATGTAAAGATAGTTTTAAACATTCATTTTTATAAGATTTTGAGTTCCAAATTTTTCTCCTTCCCTCCCTCCTCCCCAAGATGGCAAGCAATCTGATATAGGTTATATACATGCAATCATGTTAAACATATTTCATGATGTGAAAGAAGAATCCTAACAAAAAGGAAAAACCATGAGAAACAAAAAACAAAAAAAAGTGAAAATAGTATGCTTCAATCTGCATTCATGATCCATAGCTCTTTCTCTGGATTTGGATAGCATTTTCCATCATGAGTCTTTTGGAATTGTCTTGGATCCTTGTATTGCTGAGAAGAGCTAAGTCAATCATAGTTGATCATTGTACATTGTTGCTGTTACTGTGTACAATATTCCCCTGGTTTTCTCACTTCACTCAGCATCAGTTCATGTAAATCTTTCCATGCTTTTCTGAAGTCTGCCTGCTCATCATTTCTTATAGCACAATAGTATTCCATTACATTCATATACCACAACTTGTTCAGCCATTCCCCAATTGAGGCATCATCTCAATTTCTAGTTCTTTGCCAACACAAAAAGAGCTACTATAAATATTTTTGTACTTGTGGGTCCTTTCCTCCTTTTTATGATCTGTTTGGGATACAGACCTAGAAGTGGTATTGCTGGGTCAAAGGGTATGTACAGTTTCGTTGCCCTTTAGACATAGTAGAACAGAGAATTTGAAACTGTCAGTAGGCCTTATGATTTTTGAGAAATACTACTGCCCTTAGAAGTCATTGTAAGCTGGGTCAGGTAGGTGGTGTAGTGAATAGATAATTAGCCCCAGAGTCAGGAGGATCTGAGTTCAAATCTGACCTCAGATATTTCTTAGCTATGTGATGCTGGGTTAGTCACTTTACCCCAGTTGCCTGAAGAAGAAGAAGTCAATGTAAACCTCTTATATGGCAATGATTCTGGTCTTTTTAGATGCCCTATAGTTTTAATAGACACTATAACAAAGGTTTTTAACCATTTGTGTCTTGGAACCCTTTAGCAAGTTGCGGTGAAGCCTTTGGACCTCGTCTTAGGAATGTTTTTAAATATACAAAATAAAACAAAGGATTGCAAAGAAAGTGAATTGTATTGAAATACAGTTATCAAAATGTAAACACACTCGTACACGAGGTCATAGACTCCAAATGAAGAACCCTTGAGCAATGGCTTCCTTAAATCAGATCAGTAAGTATTTGATAAGCTCCTGCTCTTCGCTAGGCAGTATGCCAAGCACTGGAATACAATGAAAGGCAAAAACCAGCTCTTGGGTTTAAAGAGCTCACAATTTAATGAGATAGACAACATGCAAACGATTATGTCAAAATAAGATATCCTGGATAAATTGGAGGTAATCAAAAGAGCGAAGGCACTAGCCTTAAAAAGGATTAGAATTTTTTGTGGGGTGTCTGTTTTCTTTCAACATGACTAATATAGAAATATGTTTTGCTTGACTGCACATGTATAACCTATACCAAATTGTTTGCCTTCTCAATGAGGGGAAAGGGGAGGAAGAGAGAATTTGAAACTCAAATTTTTTTTAAAATGTTAAAATATTTTATATGTAATTGAGGAAAAAATAAAATATTGACAAAAAGAGGGATTGGTAGGGACTTTAACTGGAATTTTAAGGAAGGTAGGCAAGTCAGAAGATGGAGATGAAGAAGAAGAGAATTCCAGACATGGGGAGGGGACCACCAGTGAAAATTCACAGACTTAGGAAATGAAATAATGTTCCAAGGAAAGTAAGGAGGACAATGTTAATGGATTAAAATGATATATGGAGAGAATGGAATAGGGTGGTAGCAACAGGACACTGGGGAATACCTGCTTCTTTTATGGTGGAGTTGAAATCAGGCGAAGCTACAGATGGAGAGTGGAATGAGCTGAAAGTCCAAGTTCTGTCCTCTACAGGAATTTGCTTGCCAGGTTCTTGGGATCCAGTCTAGTCAGGGCTTTCTGCTGTCACCACTATAGCTACCAAACAGATCATATTTGGATAGAACCTTCAAAGAGTACTTTCCTCACATTTACATTGCATTTTAATTACTGTTTGGAAAGCTCTTTCTTCATAACTGTTACAGCAAGAATTCTCACATCCATTTTACAGATGAGGATCTGTGCTTTAAGTGACTTACTTGTCATTCAAGCATTCACATGGTGATCAGAAAAAGTGATACAAGGACACTCTCAAGGTTGCTCTTAAGAACTTTGGAATTGATTATGTGACATGGGAGACAATGGCACAAGACCACCCAGCATAGTGTGCCCACATCAGAACAAATTTATAGAATCCACCCCAAATGTTCACATGGACTATTGGTGCCCTGACCTGTACTAAAGCATTCCAAGCTGGTATTGGTCTGATCAGCCACCATCAGACACACTGTAACTTGACTCTAACATAGTGATGTCCTTTTGGTCCTTTTTGAGAACAAAGACAACAACCAAACCATCCACCATCACACAAGAGCTGAGACTTGAACTTTAGTCATTGTCATCATTATCATCATCTTCACCTTCTTTTTTCTTTCTTCTTCTTCTTCTCCTTTTTCTCCTCCTCCTCCTTCTTCTTCTTATGCTGCTGCTTCTTCTGCTGCTTCTGCTGCTTCTTCTTTTGTCTTGGTCATTTCATCTTTTTTTTTTAAATTTCATTTTTAATTTGTGGAATAAAACAAGCAATTCCATAACATAGTATAATAAAAAAGATGATTGCAAATGAAACTGCAAATCTATTATGTCCAATTTGCTATTCCTTTTAAATATATAACAAAGTTATCATGTAAATTTCTTTTTTACCTTTCCCTCCTGTACCTAGAGATGGCTACCATTAGACACAAATAGGTGTGTGTATATGTATACACACACATATGTATATATGTTTGTACATATATATGTATATATGTTGATGTATATGTTTGCATATATGTGTGTATATACATGTGTGTGTATATATATATACACACATATTATAAAATTATTCTATACATTCTATGTATCAGTTCTTTCTCTGGATGCAGATAGCATCTTTCTTCATATATCCTTTATAGTTAATTTGGGTATTTATAATAGTCAAAATGACTTATTTGCTCAGTCATTCTTAAAACAATATTGCTTCAACTGTATACAATGTTCTCTCAGTTCTGCTCATTTTGCTCTTCATTAGAACTTTAGTCTCTTTAATCCAAGTTGGAGGCTGCAGTCATTGTACCACACTACATCTCTATGATTAATTCTGATCTGCCTGTCTTCTAAAGGCTTCCTAGGAGGGGAAATACTATCAAGGTCATTCAAGGCAAGATTCCTGCCCCCTGACCTGGGGATTATTGGCTTTGAGTATTAATATCCTTGTAAATTATCTGTATACTCAATCTATTTAGGCTTTGGTTTATCAAATATCAATAAAAATTACTTTTCTTTAACAGTGGAACATATTATATTACACACACGCACACACATTGATTGATTGATTGATTGATCTATTGATTTTTCTCACCCAAAATTATCAGCATGTAATGTTCTTTCTCTTCTAAGCTGCTTGGAAACCATGGGGAGGGGGGAAAGAAAAAAAAGAAAATTATATGATAACTTTATTATATATTTAAAAGGAATGACAAATGGTATATAATAGACTTGCAGTTTCATGTATAGGCATCTTTTTTTCATTCTACTATGTTATGGCAATCCTAATTTATTTCATAAA